GTAGTACGACGTGGCGGGAGATGAAAATACACCTGCTCGGCTCATCTTAGGTCAGGGGGACTTGGAGTATCTTTTCGACGCTTTGTAGAGGATTCGGAATGCTAGGTTGGCGCCTATGCGGTGGTCGCTGTCAATCAAGTGAGTCACAACTGCGCAAGAGAAGGCTTTTTTTCATGCGTTGAGTTAGGCTGGCAGGGTGGTTTTCACCCCTTCGCTTGGATGAGCACCTAGTTGCTCGATCACTGTATGCTGTCTCACAGAGACAAGTTAAAGCGTAGGCGCACAGAAAATAGGGCCTGAAAAAGCAGTGTATCCTTACCTTCAAGGTGAGGAAGTGGGGCGTTTGAGGAAACTAGGCTTATTTTAACGGCCGCGTAGCGCGCGATTGTAGTGTTTAACCTAAGCTTAGACTACTTTTTTCAAGCCCTCCAATTCTTCGCATGAAGTTAGGGGTAGACTACTTCTTCAGACCCCTTATCTATGCGCCTTCGCCTTCAATTTTTCCTGTGGGACAGTTTACATTAATCGAATGGCTAAGCACCAATCCAAGCAGATGCGAAAGCGTCATCCAGTCTGGTTAAGTTAAGACATAGAAAGCACTTCTCTAGCGTAGTTCGAGGCTCACTCGATTGACAACGGTCACCGGACAGGCGTCAATCAAGCCTTCAGAATCCTCTGAAAAATGCTGGAAACACACTCTGCGTCACTGGATACTTGCGGCGCTAGAGGCAGTGACTATAAGTTTAGCCAATTCGATCGTTTCCTCTCATAAAGCGTTTATACATCCCCTGAAATCCCCTGATCCAAGATGAACCCGTCGTGTGTGTTCCCATCTGCTGCCATTTCGTGCTACAGCTCGTTGTTAGACGCCTCCTTCCCCACCCCTCTTTCCAAGTCCCGCACAGCCGTAGACTATAACCGCCAAAAGATGAACGGCCTCAACCATCCCCCCAAGTTTGCTGTTCATTAGCTGGTTAAACTTCTGCTGCTTTACTCTCATGTATATTGATGGTCGAACCGGGAGAACCTCCAATTCGCCGTCGTTAGGGTGAATTCCGGCGTAAATCTGCTGGTCTGCGTCCTCCGCACAGAGGTATCGTGCTTGCCAGAAACGGCCCCAGTATAACCTGGGTGTTCGCACAATCACCTCAGTTGAGGCTGAAGGACCTCGATAGTACATGTTTCCATCTGATATGCTTGTTGTAAATATAGGACGCATGTATTACTACCCAGCTATTGATATAGTTCTATGAAATATTAAGTTGCCATGCTACGCTGACTCTGGAGCAGGTTGCTCCCTTATAAGTATGGAGATGTTCTGTAAGGTTCAAGCTAGAGTTAAGTAAGTCTTCAGTTGGTCTGAAAACGGTTAATAACACGACTTTGTGACTCAAAGCCATTGTAGAACTTGAGCTATTATTTACTAACGTTGCTGTTAACCCATTAGTTGAGTATTTGCTTGATATAGCTTGGGATTGAATACAAGGTGACGGTTTCCTACCGGCATGCACATGCTGCATTATAGTATACTATTTTCTGATCTTAGTAATTATGATTACTATCATTAGCACTCTTAGCATTGGTATATTACTTCTAGCAGCAGTATCATAGTTCTCGTAGTCCTAACTTAACAGCTTGATGGATAGACGTGAGAGGGTGAAAACCAAGGCAAGCCCTGATGTGCTCCGGGCCTAGAACATGTTTTTACTCGGAATAGCATAAATCCAGATTCAAACTCCTAGTTGAGGTCGAAGGGACCCGAGTCCCAGCGTTGCCTCTAGACTAATCTTAGCATCAGTTATAGTATCAGTACTACTGTCATTCATTTGCATCTCTATTAAGCAGCAGTACAAATAGTAGTTATAGTAGTAGAAATGGTATTAACAGTCTAGCTCTTCTTGAGTGGAGATTGAGGGTGAGTGAGTGTTAAAAGTGTTGGTGTAACAGCGCAAAACTCTACTATCACTTAAGACTAAATCACACGCTGTTCTGACCTGCATTGGAGAAAGCAGCCAACGCTGGATCCCGTTTGGTCATCTTGTTTCTGTCTTTTCCCCGGCTAAGGCGGTTGAAGATGTGAAGTGCAGTAGGCAGTTGCGACGTCTCCATTCACTTAAACCTAACTCCAGTCACCTTCCCTCCATCAACCTGTTTGGAGCACATGGTGGATTTCATCGAAATCGATCGTCGAACTATCGTATTACTTTACAGGCCTGGGGTAGAATAATCGAAAACGTACGTTTTTCGAACGTGACTTCTTGAACATTCACACGTCTATCAGCGCTAAACTTCCCATTACTTGATTAGATAGTAGTGTTTAAAAATTAATTCGCATTTTCAAGCTCTGGCATTTAAGTTCAGGTTTTTGAAAGACCTAACCAAATCAAAATATGGTCAAATGTAGAAAGAATAACTGAAGAAATCACTCACACTCTTGGCAGAAGTCTAATCTGGGCGTAAGTGGACCGAAGCGAAGTTACATTTTATGTTCGAGCAATGTCTGGGTCATGTGGATGCATGCTGACTTGTCTCAAGAGGCGCATGGTAGTAGTTTCACTAAGAAACCGTCGAACACACGACAATGTTGTCCTGAAAGGGGTGATGCAACTCCTGTTGCACTGAGCAAAAATAGTCAGTGACAGCACTGACCATTCATGCTCCATTTAAACCATAGCTCTCCGACTGCGACTTGTCCTCCAAAAAATTGTACTCATTTTCGGCAATGTCTACATTTAACGGTGAAAGTCCACTTTAATTCATGGCTACATTCACTCGATATAATTTCCTTCATCTGTATCTTACCGATATTTGAGTCTCAAATGCAGGGAGGAAAATATCAAAGAGATTCCGATTTCCTCTAATTTGCGACAAATAAACAGAATTTATCCTCTCTTTTTCGCTACTGCAGTGCAAAAACAGTTCACCTGATGATATATTCAATTGGAGAAAATATTGCTACATACGATTTTAAGGTAAGTTTTATTATTGAGCTAATGCAGGAAACTTAGTCCAATGCTAAGTGTCTTTTCGTACTGCACAAGCGCCAGTCCCGCCCCGAAATTTTGAAGAATTACTATTGAAGGATCGGATCTCTACGCTTTGTTTTGTACTGAGTACCTCAAAAGGGCCAAGTCTTGACTGTCCACTGGAAAGAAACCAAGCCACTGCATAAGCAGCATCAAGTAACGTAAAAGTAGGTGAGAACAAAAAGGTGTGATCACTTGGACAAGGATTGTATAAGTCTGACGTTTCGAAATTCATTGCGGATTCATTATCAGAGGCAATAGCTGAAACGACAATTTTGATTAACCACTTAGGCTTTAATTCTGCAAGATATTATTATATTAACTTTTTAAAGCTACCAAAGCAGTCATTTAACATATTCCCTCGAAGGCGTACGCTGAGAAAGATACTATGGTTAACCAAGACCGAATAACCCTTTCAGGTTGTTTTGCGTTGAGATAAAAACTAAGACAGAAAACGAAGACAGACGCAACCTTGGAGTGATTCGGGACTGAAGCTAGGATAAAACACAGTCCGTAAAATTAGGTCCGTTGCAAAAATGTGTTTAGATCCGAATCTTATGGTCTTATCTAAAAATAGGGGAATCCGTTGGAAATGTACGCACTATATGCTATTTCCATGGGAGAAGATAAATGACCAGAGTTAGCATAAGTCATTTTCCTACAGCTTGCGTGATTGCATTCTAAACATGTGAACTTATACTTTACCAGAGCTGGAAATTTGGAATTCCAAATTTTGCCCACATATAGTTTCGCAAATGTCAAAAACTCCTGAGAGTACTGTTATCCTCGGTAAGCGGACTTCATAATTGAGTCAGAAACGATGGCATGTTGGGAGATCTCGTCGACTTCTGATGTCGAATGGAAGGTAGGTCATTCTTCAATGTTTATTTTTTACGGAAAATATTTAAGCTGGATTTTCGCCAACCGTGTTATGGTATGAAAAAAGTGATTAAAATTATCAACGGCAAAACTGCATATCTCATTTCCTTTGCTTTGCAAGCAGGAGAAATATAAATTTGAAATTCATTTTATAGCACAAAAACAAAGGCATTTACTGAGCTTACATATTCTGCAAACTTAAAAACTTTCGGGTCAAGGAAGAATGGTGTTCCCGGATGGCCTTCATACCTATGTTCAAGCCATGGCCACAGTGTATCGTCATATATATATATATATATATATTCACTCAGAAATGTGCGAACACCGATC